TGCAAGCATTTCCTATTGCCAACTCATTCATCTTGATTTATAGGGTTCGATTTAGATCAATGAATCACGAACGCCGATATCATTCAATGTATTGTTGGATTCATTGAAAAAGGTGATGTTAAAATCAATGCACCAAAATCTGTCAATTCAACAGTGTGTCAATCTTTATATACATGTAGCGATGCTAAATATTATTGAATTTGCTTGGGTTTTATTTTAATATTATTTATTTTTTATATATTTGCGTGGAGTTCTGGTCGAAGCAACATCGACCTATTTGTTTTATAAATAATTCACGATGATAGCAAGGAATCACGCAGATATTGTCGAGGCCACCATTTTTTGAGTGAAATCTAAATAATAAAAACCCTGTCTTTAATTGATGGAAGAATTAGCAGATTAAATAACATTGATTTTGCTATTGGACTTTTTTTAACTCCATAAAAATCTTTAAAACTTTCCGTCGTTCTTCAACTTAATTGTCATTTTCGTCCAAAAAGAATATAATCAACGAAGTCTTGAAAGGCACTACGATGAACTAATTTTTTTTTTTACCTTTTTAATCCTATGTGCAAAAGCGGAATTGAAATCGTCAACCCACTTGACTGCTTGACTTTGCCAGTTTGCGTGCTTTCTTGTCTCAACAGCAAGATAAGAATGGAAATCAGTCCCTAAGCTCTTAACCGTGCTAAGTCTAATGTTTGTTTTCTAGCTTGTCTTCCCTCAACTTAGGATACATTTTTAATTACAATTCGTTGGCGTCTTGTCCTTTGTTTCGATTATTGAGAATCAATAATGCATCATAGAACAAAAATTTCGGGCTGGTCATTTCTTTCCAAAGGCTAGGATTTATGACTTGGTTTGGTGCATTTCGATCACATATTGTCGAATAGGCCACGCATATATTTCATTCTTTATATGCTATGTCACCATAGTATTGCACGACGGAGATAACTTCACACGTCGAATTTGACTGTAGTCTGTAGCTCGCTCACGTTGCAATGTTTCCCAAAGCGTGTCTCGATCTAATCAACTCTAGTGGCACAATAGATAATTTACCAGAGTTAGCAAGTATGTTTTAATTTCATAGTTAAGGCACTTGCATTTAACGATGTAATCTAGTTAGATTAGACTTGCTTAGTTTGAGACTCGATCAAATTGTTCAACTTTATAAATATATTTGCCAAGTTTATAGTTATTTAAGATTTCTAGTCAATCACATCAAATTTATTGCATGTTTGCCAAGTTTAAAAATTTACCTATACCTAATTTATATAGAACTGAATACTTAAACTTTAAAATGATAATTCTTTTATTTATCAAAATTGAAAACATTGTAAATAGTTTATTTTGAAAGTTACATTTAGCTTATTATCAAAATTAGAGTTTGTTTGGAGGGATTAAAATCAGATTAAAATTGAAAATATAGTCGTTATTGTTGACTTTTATTAGACGGGTGGGACCCAATAACGGCCATATTTTCAATTTTAATTGGATTTTAAGCCATTTCGAACGGGGCCATAGTATAACTTCTTTTTATCAAGTGGTAATTACATGTAACCCTTCTTTTCAAGATTCAAATTCATTAATCAGATTTCAAGTTTTAATTTTCAAAAATTAGATATTTTATATTTAATTAAATATTAATAATGATATTATAAAAATTAATATATACATACAGGCCACCCCACTTCCAAATTAATTTCAAACCCTAAATTCACGTCTCTCACTCATCTCTCGCTTTCTCTGTCTCTTAGTCCTCTCCTCTCCCTCACCGCCACCACTGCGCCGCCACCATGCCCACCGAAATCCTTAGCCACGGTCGCTGCCGCTATGAAGTGAAACAACCACCACTATGAAGTGAAACAACTACTGCTCCCTTCCTCCTCCTCTCCCGTCTTCTCCGGCGATGTCTTTTCCCTGAGTACGCCCTTATTGGGCCTTCACTGGATAATAGAGGAATAGCACTGCACCGCACTCTGCTTGGATGAATTATGATGATATAAACGTGTATTTTTGGAGTAAGAGGTGTTTTGAGAAGCTGAAATGGCCGATTGATGTTGGGAGTAATTTTTTTGTTACAGGGTAGGGGAAGAAAGTGGGAAAGACAGGGTTTGTTGAGACGAGGTCATTTTGGAAATTGTTTAGGAGTTTCGAGAAGAAGTGGATTATGTTAATTCTATTTCTTCAGGCTTCGATATTTGTGGCATGGGAGAGGAGAGAGTATCCGTGACAGGCGGTCGTTTGAATCCGTGTTGGTGCGGTGTTTGAATTTGTGTTGTGTTTCGTGACCAACTGTGACCATATAATGGACTAATTGTGAATGCATAATGGATTAACTGTGACATTAAAATTCGACAATTTGTGACTAAATATTAATCCGAGCCAAGTGCAAAAATATTTTGTAACCTGTGCTGTGATCATTTGAAAATAACTCATGACTATGAACAAAATCATGATTTGTGACCTCGACTGTGACTTGTGACTTGAGTTGTGACCTGGGCTGTGACTTATGAATTGGACTGTGACCTGAGCTGTAACATGTGGCATGAGTCGTCGAAACGGTCACCAGAATCGGAGTAGTCGCCGGAGTAGTTGCCTGAATCGGAACAGTCGCCGGTCCCCAGAATAGTCGCCGGAGCGATGGGGGTGGGAGTGCATTAATTTATATAT